TTTTATTTGACATAGAAAATTTTTGGATTAGTGATTTCCCTCAATAGTCAATTATTTGTAAAAAAGATAAACAAATTGGGAGACAAGCTCTAAGTACCTACTTAAAGAGGAGAAAAGAAAACTAAACTATAGTTGAATCAAATCCAAGCGGCAGTAATGACATTAAATAACCTAAATTGTACACAACATCCAGCCTTCCTATTGGTTGAAACGCCTTACCAGAACCAGTGCGCATGCACGGAGAACATTTGATAGGTTGTAATGGAAATTAGCAGTTGTGTCATTACTGCCGCTTGGATTTGGTTCAACCATAGATAATAGAATAACAAACAGTCTTTTCAAGGAAAAACGAACAAGAAATAGGTCATTTTTATATTAAGAAACACAAGTCGATATTTATTTTTTGTCAGCGACTCTGACTGTAGCAGGAAAGGAATTTAGGAATTGTTGTTAATCTCCAGTTTTTTGAAATTATATGAAAAAAAATTCATCTATTACAAAAAAAGTGGGGGAGGGGCTCGAGCCCCCCCCCCCCCCGTGCGTCACGTTGTGCGGCTACTGCACTGTTCGGACGGTTTTTCTGTCAAGGTTGTCTTCCTTACCCGATGTTAGGGTGATGCTGTGATTACCAGTGGGATGTTTCTGGATGAGGCTACAGGCAGTATGGCTTGCCGAGGGCTCAGTAGACCTGGCCCCCCCAGTGGATAATTTTTATCCAAATTGCTAGCCCTCGTTCTCCAGAGCTAGCGCAACCTAGCGCAACTTTTTCGAAAGCTAGCGCAGCTACAGGTCAAAAGATATGTGGCTTTATATTCGGGGGGGGGGGGGGGGGCGGCTAGGGTGACGCTAGCCCCCCCCAGTTATTCGATCTTCTCAAAAATGCTGGCGCACATTCGTAACACCTAGCGCAAGTTGTGTCATAGCTAGCGCAGCTATCGTAGCTGTCATACAGGGTGGACAAAAAAAATCATGAGCCCCTACAAGTGATTTTTAATTTTTCAAAAATATATATGAAGCTTCCTTAAAGCTAGCGCAGGCTAGCGCAGGTAAAATTCGAGCAACCGCATTACCCCTTTAAAACATACACACATACAGGTATTTATTCGGGGGGCGGCTAGAGTGCCGCTAGCCCCCCCCCCTCAGTTGTTAAATCTTTTCCAAAATGCTAGCGGAAGTTCTTGACACTTAGCGTAAGTTGTGTCGTAGCTAGCGCAGCTATAGTAAGTAAATGTTATACAGTGTGAACTATGATCTTACAAAATGTCGCCAGCTCCAAGACAAGATTTAACGTTTACAAGCGCTATCTATTCGCGAAGTAGGTAATTAAAACTTAACCTCACAAAGAAATGAAAAAATTGAGGTAGGTATCTTTTTCAACCTTGATGCGAGCGCAACTAGTGGGTTGTACAGTGACTGTATTACCACAGTGGCGACAATAATTGCAGTCTTATTTATGATTGGTTTTTTAAAATCCTATAATATGTTCATATTAATGAACTGTGTTCACTTTGTGGCGTAACTCTTGCTAATTTTAAATATGAATATATACGATTTATGGACATCGATCATAACAAATTGAGAACAACGTATTTGATATACCTAATAATGGTCATCAAATACATTGTTTTCAATTTTGTATGATAAATGTCCATTTAAATCCTATATATTCGCAATAACTCCGAGAACACCAACAATTGACCCATGGTTAATAGGACAGTTTTAGCTTGAAAAATTCGGAGCTCCGTCTGTCTGTTCCCCAGACTCTACAATAAATTATTATGAGGATAAGTAGGATTTGATGGAACCAATTAATAATAAGACGGCAATTTTCGCCCCTGTGGATGAAAAGGTTTATCAAGTCACTGTAGGTGTCACGAATGTGCACCATGCGCCAGCATTTTGAAAAGGAACAACTGGTAAAGAGGAAAATTAGCGTTACTCTCCCCCGCCCCCCTACAGAATAAATATCTGGATAATTATTAAACGGCTAGAATGTGCTAGCTAAAGCTTGTTTAAAAACAAGCTTTGGATACAATTTGTAAAAACTAAATGTAACATGTAGGCGCTGATGATTCAGTTCACCCTGTATAACAGTTACCATAACAACTTACGCTAAGTGTTACGAACTTCCGCTAGCATTTTGGAAAGGATTTAACAACTGGGGGGGGGGCGGCTAGCGGCACTCTAGCCGCCTAAAAGTTACGCTAGCTCTGGTGGCCGATCCTCGGGCCAGGGAGTAGAGCTCCCCGATAGAACGAATGTTTTGTCCTTGTCAACGTAATCGAAAAGTAAACGAGAATGATAAGGACGAAAATTTTGTTCTCTCGGGGAGCTCCACTCCCTGGCTCGAGGATCGGCCCACTGGAGAACGAGGGCTAGCGTTTTGGATAAAAATTATAAACTGGGGGGGGCCAGGTCTACTGAGCCCTTGCCGAGAGTACCATAGCAAGGGATTTAAATAATAATGCATACAGGCATTAAATATATTCTTACGAAAAATGAGAAATTTAGTTTGTCCCCAGGTAAACATTTGGTCCCAGTTTTGCATAAATTTATTACATATACCTAATGAACCGAAAAAAAAAAGATGGCAACTCGGGCGTCAGGAATAACTGTCATTCTGCTGTCGCTAGTTTTTGAGCGACAGGGTGGTGGGGGATTGTCGGTGGCGACACTACATAGTTCTGAGAACGCGCCTTTATCCACGAAAATCACCGCGCCATACCTTTCCGATGGTTCCAAGTAGCCATATCGCATACTGCCCCAAAGACGTAGATTTCTTCGAAATTTTAATATCAGGAAGGCTAGCAACACATTGGAAGCAGGATCTTTAGGATACACATCTGCTTGTGCTGCTATATTACTGCTTTGTCCTTCTTCAAACCGCAACCCAGCAGCACCCACCGTTTTTGAAATATATCGATTTTCATTTTGGTTGCTAACTTCACCTGTGGCAACACATTGGAAGCAGGATCACTGAAACATGTCCCTGCTTGTGCTGCTATGGTCCTGTCTCATCCTGCTCCAACTCTGACCCCGGCAACACGTACTATTTTCGAGATATAGCGATTTTTATTATGGTTGCTAACTTCACCCTTGGCAACACACTGGAAGCAGGATCGCTAAGTTCCTGCTTGAGTTGCTATGGTCCTGCCTCATCCTGCTTCAATTTTCACCCTAGCAACACCTAATATTTTTGAGATACACACTGGTAGCATTACAAGAGTCTAATCGTAGGAATAGGGAGAGCTCGAGACACCGTTGCCAAATGTATCGCAATTACTGCTAGTTTTTCGTATGTTGGTATTTTAGACGAAATTTTAGACGAAAAGAGCTAATCCAAACTAACCCGTCCTCGTAATAAATTATATAGTCTTTGTATATTGGTATTTTAGACGAAAAGCGCAAATCCAAACTAACCCGTCCTCATAATAAGTGCTAGTCTTTAAATGTTGGTATTGTAGACGGAAAAGGCTAATCCATTCCAAACTAACCCGTCCTCATAATAAGGGCTAGTCTTTGTATGTTGGTACTTTAGACGAAAAGAGCTAATCCAAACTAACCCATCCTTAATATTCTTAGAAAGAAATGAAAACCATTAAAAAAAACCTTGAAAAAAATAAACCCAGGTCCATTCGCTCCAAAAACCGAACGTATTCTAACTGGGCCACCATGCCTCTGCAAGTAATCGTAGAAATCGAAGCAACAACGTGCGCAACACATGCAGAAACGTGTTCCAGCGATCCTGCTTCAATGTGTCGTCAAGGGTGAAGTTAGCAACCAGAATAAAAATCTTTGTATCTGGGAACTAGTAAGAATTGCCGGGGCAAGATTTGAAGCATGATGAGGCAGGAGTCAGGACCATAGCAGCACAAGCAGGAACATGTTTCAGCCATCCTGCTTCCATTGTGTTGCCAAGGGTGAAGTTAGCAACCCATAATAAAAATCGCTGTATCTCGAAAATAGTACGTGTTGCCGGATTCAAATTTGAAGCAGGATGAGGCAGGACCATAGCAGCACAAGCAGGCTCACGTTTTAGCGATCCTGCTTCGAATGTGTTGCTAACTTTCCCGACATGAAATTTTATTATATTGTATGAGGCGTTCCGAAATTATCGCCTGGGTAGAATGTATGGAAAGTATTTCACGAATTTTCTATTTTGGAATTTAACCGAAAGTATAACTCAAGAATGAACAAATAGAAAATGCGCTGCTGTTCATAGAGAAAAAAAAAACGAATAGGAAATAATTTTCGACCACTGGAAATATGTATACCTCTTGCAGTCTTGCCATATGCGCGTAATTCAACTGTATTTCAGAACCGGGTATGTGGGTAATCCAGGTTACGTGAATGCTATGAACTTGTTTATTAATTACAAAATTACATCATAACTTAAAACTACCTTAACCTTAACACTTCACAACAGAGCGCTGCTGATGTTAATGCCTATCTGTACAGTGGCTTAGGGTTGGTAGTGGCAGTCAGGCAATTGTGATGCTTTACTGGGGTCACACTTAAGCCGCTTTTAGATCAATTCCCGCCCTCGACTTTCAAATCGTGTTTCGTTAAATTTTATTGTCCATTGTCCTTCCGTAGTTTTAATGTTGGTGATAAAGGGAAAAGATTTTGAAAAACCCTTTTTCACGTTTCTTTGGTATGTGTGTCTGACGCGTTACGTCTATGCAGTTTCTTCCGCAGAACAAGCTCTTGCAAAATAAATATACATGGGACATGCGCACATCCATTTCCACATAAAATAAAATGAGAAGTTATTTTATGTCTCATGTTATTTGTTATTTTCTCTATGTATAAACATTGAGGGACTCTAATTAGGTTAACTTTTATTGCATATCTGTCATTTTATATTATTTTCTGTATAAACACACCTTTCATTATTTATTATTCTACGATACTAGTTACTTACCTTTTCTTTTCATCACAGTTATTGGCCATCTGATCACTTTCATTTCATTTCTGATCATTGTTTTTTTTTTTTCTAGGAAAGAATAAAACGTGAAACTTATCAGCAAGAGTTGCGGTTACAAATTGAAGAGAAGCGCCACCTAGCAGCGTTGAGAGACGAGCAAGAAAGACGCGAGCGGGATCTAGAACAACGACGACTTGAGCAGCAATTGTTGCGGATGCGCGAAGAAGAAGTCGAAGAGGACCAACGCCGTCAAAGACGAACAGAACTGGTGAGAAATTTTACTTTTTTTATGTACCTAAGTGAAACACATATTATAAATATGAAGTTTGAGGCATGACAGGAGCAAGTGACCCCATGTCTTCGAACGAAATAAACTATAACAATGTTGTCATTTTTCAAAATGCAGATGCGTCGTCACAGCGACGATCTTCTCCGACGAAAAACGGAACTCCACGAGCTGCAGAGGCCATGGCGTCGTCACGCCGACTCTGAAAGTGGTAACTTGGATACTTATGGTTTAGGGACTCCCTCTTATGTACCGCCAGTAACTAGACGGGCTCCTGCCAGCCCCTATTCTTCGTCTTCTTACAATACTGTGCCATCAGCCACGTCTGTGTTCCCCCCTCCAGAAACTAGTAGCAGTAGTAGGTAAGGATACCCAAATACAAAACATGTTAGATTAGAGTGCTACTTGGAGCCGCTTTTCGAAAGTTGCCGAGTTGGATACTAGACAGTTTCAGGTGATTTATCCAGTATAAAAATGTATGTACAAGTGACTTTTTACAATGTCAAGAATTTAATAAGAGAATTTTAAACAAATTTGCAAATTTCTCACTATCCCTTGAATTTAAAATATATACCGGGTGCCCACGAGATTACTTTCCGGCTGTCATTTTTTTATTTGTTTATCGATATCAGCGAAACTTGGTAGGGTTGATATTCTAAGGAACCGCCATTTTTGTGCATTTATTACAAGTTTTCCTGTCACCGGAAATGATCGGAAATTTTGATTTTTGAATGGCACACCCTGTATATTTTTTGTTTTTCGGATTCTGCAGATCGTTTTACGTCCTAATGTACCACTTTTGAATCGAGTTTCTTTTTAAATTAAATTTTAATTTTTTAACTAGAGTGCCATGATCATCCCAAAATGACTCTACATACTTTACTTAATTTCAGAACAAAACAAACTCAATTTTATCTTCATAAACTTTTTTGATAGAGGGCTGTGAAGTTCATCATTTTAGTATTTTTGCCCTAGCTCAAAAACTGGAATAGAAACATATCACTTCCATAACATTACTAAATGCAGTATTTTAAAGCAAATCCAACGATGTAATAACTACGACATTTAACGAAGTACGTGATGTGATTGACCAGCTTAAAAACAAGACAAGCAAGGATATTTTTAACTTAACTATAACCCTAATAAAATCAGTCAAAAATCTCCTAATAATACCTTGTACAAAATTAATAAATTATTGCATTAAAGAGAAAACCTTTCCCAATTGCCTAAAAACAGCAAAAGTAATTCCAATCTTGAAATAAGGAGATCAAATGATCCGCCGGCCTATTCTCTACGAAAAGCAATTACATAGCAACCAGCAACCGGTCGCAAGTTGCTTTTTTTGAATAAAAAACTCGCGTTTGATAGCGACTTGACAGCGACAATTGCGCAATTCTCTGCGGTCGCAAGTTACAGAATAAAGGTCTGGACACACATGACCGCACCGTATCCGCACCGAGTCCGTGCAGTAATACGGCAGTGTGTCGTTCAATAAGGTAAAAGCCACACATTTCCAACACACGGCCGCATGACGGTCGTACTACGAGTGCGGTCGGTAGTGTGTCAGTTCGCTTCTTGAAGTTGATAAATTTGTGCGTGAAAAAAACTAAAATGTTTGCCAGCTTCAGCAACAGCGAATTGGCAGCAATAGCTATATTCCGTTGGACGATGCGGAAAATGAGAAAAATAGGCCAAAACGACAAAAAATTTGGGCTAGTTTCTCTTTTTGTACTGAAAAAATACTGAGAGTCCGTCCTGCACCGTGCCCGTGAAAAATTAAACCAAACTAATCTCGCACGGTACGGACGCGGTGCGTTGGCGCCACTCGGGCACGGCGCGGGCACGGTGCGTAGATGTGAAGACTACGACATAAGAAAACACGGTACAACTCATCAGCGAGACACGGCCGTGTCTCGGTACGGACACGGTGCGGTCATGTGTGTCCAGACCTTTAGGCTGCGGAGCAACTTCAGACCGATCTCACTCTTGCCAGTTTCATCTAAAATTCTTGAAAAATGCATAGCTATACAAATATCGAGTTACCTAGAGCAAAATGACCTACTTAGTAATAGTTTGGCTTTAGGGGAGGCAAAAATATATCTTTAGCAATTTTAAAATTGATAGGAGGTATAATGGAAGGCTTTGAGAGCTCCCAACACACAGTTACCACCTTCTGTGACCTGAGCAAAGCCTTTGACTCTGCCTCGCACGACATTCTGCTTAAAAAACGGCCTTATAACAATTTTTCGAACACCAGTGTAGATCTAAGAAAATCTTATCTGACTAAACGATCACAAATTGTTAACTATAATGACATCAATAAGAACAAGCAAGAAATAAACATAGGCGTACCACAGGGTTCAATAATTGTGGGTTCTATTCTAATCCTAATCTATATTAATGATCTACCCAAAATATCACAGGTCAAGTTCAACATCCAGATCTACCAACAGCTGTCCGTATGTCGGAGGAGGCACAGTTGAGGGCTAGGCAATGGTTTGCAGCAAACAAACTCTTTTTGAATGAATCTAAAACCCAAAATTATACCTTTTATCTAAAAAATATAGAACCCATGGCCAACAGTGTAAAAGTCTTAGGACTGCACCTTGACCAAACACTTCTTTGGGATGCACACACTCAAATAATTTCAAATAAGCTTTGCAAAAACACATTTTTATTAAGAAATTTGGCAAGATGTGTCTCATCTAGAGCTACAAAACAGACATACTTTTCTTTGCGACACTCACATATAGGCTTCGCTATGCTAATATGGGGTCATGCGAATGGAGCACAAAGGGTTTTCTCCATGCAAAGAAGAGCTATTAGAATAGTAGCTGGTTTGAGTTATCGAGATGACTGCAAGCAGGCTTTTATTGACAACAGAATTTTGACATTGCCCTGTGAGTATATCCTCCAAAATCTAGTTTATGTCTTGAGCCACTATAATTCATTTATGTGTAATGCTGATTTTCACAGCCATGAAACGCGAAACATAAATAACTTAAGAAGACCCATCTACCATCCTTTACAAAGATGTCAGGGTGGACCCGGATACCGGATACCATGCTCTAAAGCTTTTCAACAAACTACGAGAGCATGTAATACAACTAAACAATTCCCAATTTAAAAACAAAATTAAAGATTTTCTCATAATAAATGCGTTGTACAGGGTGTCCCATTGAAGATGGGAATTGGGGTTATTTGCTAAACTCGTAGAGGTAGTTTTTTTTAATTCCAGATTCCCGGATCAATTTTTTATGGCGAATCGAATGCCACAAACCGCAGGTCTCTATCTTGTTTTGTTTTGGAGATACAGGGTGGAACTTGAAATGTTCACTTTTTGAGGGAAGCCATTATCTAGCGTATGAAAAAAGATATCAAAAAGGTGAAAATTGTATCTGACGCAGTTTTTTACGTAGATTTCATTAGCGTACTGGAATTTTTTTTCCGAGGTACCGTTTAAGAAGATGAAGTTTGTGTCATACTTCATCTTTTTTAAACGGGACACCCTGTAAATTTTCACATTTTCAAAATACGCATAAAATTACCTTTTCAATGATATATAATTTGTCCTTCTCAGAAAATGTTTTGATAGTATATTTTGAAGAATTACAACAAAAAATGAAACCTTCAACTGTATGGACGCATTACTCAATTATAAAATCTCTATTTGTTAAGCATAATATTGACATATCTAAATATCATAAGTTAAATGCTATGTTGAAACGTAAATCCGAAGGATTTATTGGCAAAAAATCAAAAACCTTCTCACCCGATGAAATTAAGAGGTTTTTGGACGAAGCACCTGATAAGCAGTTTCTGTTTTCAAATGTAAGTACATACCTTACAGGGAATTGCTCTATATATCACGTAAGCTTTATGTTTTATTTTTTTAAATGTATATTTTATTTTTATTTCAGGTAGCAATGATATTCGGTATTATGGGGGCATGCCGTAGACATGAACTTCACGATTTGAGACTCGAAATTGTTCAAGACAAAAACGGAATATTGATCGTCAATATAATCGAGACTAAAACAAAAATACAAAGAACATTTACAATTACCGGCAAACCATACGAAATTTGCAAAAAATATATGAATCTTCGACCAGCAATCTGTCCTACTCCATATATTTTTTTAAACTATGGCTATGGGAGATGTACTGTGCAAACCATTGGTATCAATAAATTTGGAAACTTGGGCAAGCAAATTGGAACCTATTTGAAACTCCCAGATGCAAAATTATACACAGGACACTGTTTCCGTAGAACGTCTGCAACCATATTAGTGGATGGCGGCGGTGATATTACCACCTTGAAGAGACATGGTGGTTGGAAATCCACAACGGTGGCGGTGGCTGAAAGCTATATTGAGAACAGTGTGCAAAGTAAAATAAATATTTCAAATAAAATTTTGAATTCCATCGAAAATAAGGGTGACGAAATCAACATTAACATGCCCTCCAGTTCAAATTCGACAACCATACATACAGGAACAACCCCACAAATACATTTTACAAATTGCACTGTGAATAATTTATATATAAACCAGAAAGATTAACTTATTAATCTATTGTGAAAATGGAGTTTTTGTTTTTCATTGTTACGAATAAAGTTCTTTTTCATTGTTATAAATAAGTTCCTTTCCATTTCTAATAATAAACTATATTCTTACAATAATAAATTTGTATTTCATTTATCAATGGCAGTAGAAAAAATAGTGTATGCAACTCTCATGTAATGGCCATTAATACACTCGCATGTTATATACGAAACTCGCCTGCAGCTCGTTTCGTATCCTACAACATGCTCGTGTATTAATGGCTATAATTACATAATCATTGCATAATATACTATTTTAATGTCGTCAATTGTGCGTTTTCTAATGGCTATATATACCAATTCTGGAGCCCCACACTCTTTCACAGTCTTGGCAAACCCAGCCTCTGCAAACATTGGTCTCTTCCTCTGCTCTCTCGCTCCTTCCTGCGGGCCCTCTTTTTGGTCTCGTGTCTGCGTCGCTGTTCTTCAAAAGTTTGTGGTCCGTCGTGGACTACTCGACGCCATTAAGGCCTATCATTTGCCGTCGTCTCTCAGATGCAATGACGGATAAAAACGCAATACCTATGTATTCCTATTGGTCCACTAGTTATCTGCCGACCACTAGAATTATGGAACGGTAAATTTTCCTTGCAATTAGTTTCCAGCAAAGTTAATCTGAATAAGGCCCGGTTTATTTATCTTTAGATAAACTTACTAGTTGCTATCTGCAAGATAAATTCAATCTATAATCCTATCGGTTGGCGGATAACTGACCGACCAATGGGATTACAGATTGCGTTTTTATCCATCAGACTGCAT